GTATGTATGTATATATATATGTATGTATGTATGTATGTATGTGTATATATGTATGTATGTATGTTGATATATGTATGTATGTATATATGTGGATATATGTATGTATGTATGTATGTGGATATATGTAAGTATGTATGTATATGTATGTATGTATGTATGTATATGTATGTGTAGTAGAACATACGGATGAGATATATTCATACTGTTAAAACGGATTCTTTCATTTTTCTGGACTGTATAATGTACGTGCATTGAATGTAATAAAATGTGGACGTGAGACGTTAATTATCTTTGACTCACCACGACAGTGGGTCATTTATTAACAGAATCAAGTTTAACACATCACACATTTACATTAATTGGCAAGAATTGAGAATAACGACAGCTATTAATCAGTTTACAGGAAGTGAACAATACGGCGATTGTTTTCTCACTTCCATCAGAACGACAAACGTTATTAATCACAGCAGACGTCAACCACACGGCGGTGATTGAAAAACTTTGCTTCAGACATTTCTAAAAATATCTGTAATGATTTTTTCAGATAGAAGAGTTTAAAGATGGAAAGATGAAGTTTATCTACAGAGAGATGTGTGAGGGAATTTGTCTGTTTTAACCAGAACCGCACGCTCCTTTGGACCAGCTTAATCCAACGGTACACTTTCGGTTGAAGATCGACTTTTTACCTTTTCTGAAGATATATCAGTTCCGGCGTGAAGTCCCACTTCGAGCCACCTTTTCAGCGTCTCCGTAAGAGCAGCTAAAAACCTCGGGAGTCGTGTGGAGGTCATCCAAAACAGACTTTCATAATTCCCAGAATCTCCTCTCGTTCAGCTTAGTGGCAGCTGTATTGAGCATGCTGCATTCCAGCATTCTGCATTCTGGAACTCCAAACTCTCTGGTTGAACTAGGAAGTGCCAACATTTAAAGGGCTCTACTTCCGGTTCGTTTGGGAGTTTCTGATTGGTCGATGGACCAAAACAGAGGTGTGTTTTGTGATGTAAGGTGTTATGAAAAGTCAAGGAAAAGATTAAGATTGTTTAAGAACAGACAGAAAGATATTATGAAGGAACCAGACTTCGTGGAGTCACCTCTTCCAGTATCTTGCTGTAAAAGTTAAACATGACATTTCTTTTCAGCAAACCTTTCAGTTGACCGAAACTTGAACTTTGAACACACTTACAACTTACTCACTTCAAACAGACGATCAAGAAATGAGTCATTACTCTGTAACGTATTCCAACTTGATTTCACTTTGAATGAGGATTAACAATCATTATACTGTTTCACAGTTAATTAAAATGATTAGTTCACTTCAACATGTAAACATTGTTTGAACTAACTCAATTTGATTATCAAAAACATTTGTAAAATAGTAATGATCATAGAGAATTGTCTTTTTCCACTTGATTAATTCAAGAAAGAAAGTCTCAGGATGGGTCAACCTGCATTTCTGGATGCAAATCAACGAAATGACAAGTTATGTCCCATAAGGTCAAATCCTGACCTTAGGTCTAGTTCACTACATATGTATGTATGTATGTGTATATATGTACGCATGTAAGTATGTATGTATGTATGTGTATATATGTACGCATGTGTGTATGTATATATGTGTATATATGTACGCATGTGTGTATGTATGTAT